CATGTGGGACGGTATCGAAGGCTTTCAATTCAGGTTCCAACCTTAGTAAAGAAGTTATTTCCAGCCCTTTCTAGGAGACGTAAGAGAGAACCAGAGCACAACTCATTATCTTCTGCAAATTAATCCCTCAGTTTTACTGCTGTAACCTTTGACCATAAAAACCTTCTCCCTTGAAAAGAATGCACTGTTTGCCAGCTACCACTGTGTACTGTGACCCTGCTTCACTGGAACCTTCTCACAAGAAAGTATCTTTCCAGAAATACACAAATAACACCTTCTGTATGTATGAATTGTTTGTTAAACTTTTTTTTTTTTTTTTTTTTTTTTTTAAGAGAGGGACATAAAATAGTTTAAGAACAATTAAACTCAATTACTCTGGAATATAAAAACATGTAGAAACGAAGTTCCCACATCACCGTTAAACTGCAAATACTTCTGGGCAGTACACCCAGAGCATTCTTATATTACATACAAATGTAGGATAGCAAAAAGAAGCAAGCCTCTCACTTCACTGCACTGAATAAAGTTAATTCATCAGACACATACTCCTCACTCCCACTGAAATCATAAAAATATCCCAACGTGTCTAGCCGAGGACATAATCTGTCCTGAGAATCTCACCTTTGTTTCTAACCTAAGATTAAAGATCTTATCTCAAGCTTAGGTTCCTAAAACTCATGGAGTTGGTAACACAGCTAAGCAGATGTATTGATTTCTGAGGCTTGTGTCCCTTGCAATAAAATGTAAAGGTGACACTGCAAAAGCAGCCACCTCCGTCAGGCTTTCCGTTTTTTGCAGCCAAGAAAGAATGACACACATCTGTGGAAACAAGACGTCTCTTGTTTAGAATTACCCCCTAAATTATTAAACATTTGCCAGAGGGAGGTGTGGGGGGTGGGTGGGGGGTAACACCAACATTCAATTCATATGCAAACACACAAACCAAACAAAAAGCACCTCCCCATTCACAAAGGAATTTGCGGTACTTGTTAAACAAGACCTAAATTCATGCCAAACACAATTTTACAGGGTCAGCCTGAATCACAGGATCTCTGACTGTGACAGAATCTGCAAGCTGAGCAGCCTTGCCACTTTTTCCAGAGCATCCATGAGAAAGGTAGAAGAGCATTTTGAGGGTTTTCCTTGGTCCAGGGGGTGGGAACAGAGCTGGTTCAGTGCACTGCTTGGATCTGCCAACCTTCAGCATCTTTTACAGGGCTTTGCTGAGGGAAAAGATGTAGCTCTGGAACAGGGGAATAATTTGCAGACAGAATAGCTTCTTGGGGTTCAGAGCACAACACAAATTACTGTTAAGGTGGTTCTGATTCACCTTTGAGGCCAGTCCCAGCCATAAACATCGTCGGTCTCTTCCCCATTTACTTTAATACCCTTCTGGGCACCAGGGTTTTTATGACTTAGGCCATAAAAAAATGCCCTCTTGGTGTTTAGCTGTTCTGTATTCCAAGAATGCTCCTGAAGTATTTCTCTGTCTCATAAAAGAATTCAGATAGCTGTTTCCCTGTGGCCTCTCCCTGCCAAGGGATACACTAGGATTGCCTCATATCAATCCCAGTTTTCTTTCTGACGAGTGCTGGTCCGAACAGTGCTAACTGTGGCTAACTCGGAGAGTGTCTGTGCTGTTTTTCTCCGAGTTTGTTTCCTGGGATAATACTAGGCGAGAAATTTCCTCTGAAAATGAAAGAAAAACTGACAACAGAATCAGGTCCACTCCCTCTTGGCCCACTGCTTTTGAGGTCTCTTACATCTGGACAAACTTTCAGTAACGTCTTGTGCAACTTTGTGTTTACCATCAGCCACAAACACGGAGAAGAGAATCAAGTCCAAAGCGTTGAGAAGACCCTACCCCCCACTTCTTCTAGGTCAGCACCCCATGGAACAGTTTTCAGCGAGCATCTGACTTGTGCATCTGAGGTATCACACGCTGAGGTGGTGGTCCTGTAAATGCCTCCTGCCCCACCCTCCCCTGTGTTTCAGGCATTTATGCAATGCGGTGCAGTGGTTGCTCTGCCCTTCTTGCTTAGCAAGGTGCTCTGCCCTTCTTGTTAGCAGCTGGTTCTGAGGCACAGTGTCACAGGAGAGGATCAAGGCCATATTCAGCCAGGTAGGCAGCTTCCCCACCCTGTGCCCTGCAGAGGCAGCCTTATCTGCTCTCCTCCTCATTCCGATGTATCGGATGGGCTTCCACGGAGCTATTTCATCTGCTGGAGATGGGGA